GTCATCTACGACCTATGATTATGGCCGCACAAGATTCATTTTTTAAGGTCATACTTCCGTCCAAAAATTAAGTGGCCTACTAGTCATACGCGTCTTTTATTTATTTATTTATTATTTTTGAATAAATTCGTAAATGGTAAGATCTGAATCGTTGATTTGAAATAAAAAAATGTATTTATATGTGATTTAATATTATTAGATCGAAGGTTCAAGTGCATTTATTTATTAAGAAAAGATGGTAAGCCATGAAATTTTAAGTTTTACATTTAAGTACTATTAATTTTTAACTTTCAAAAATTCCATTAAGTTCAACGACAAAAAAAAAAAGTCATAATTATATCATTTTTTATTTTAAAATAATCGTTATTTTTTATTTTTTATAAATTAAAATTTTAAAAGTATTTATATTATATTTTTTTAAATAATAATAATTTTTTATTTTAAATTTATTTTTAATTAATTATCATTTTTTTATTTTTTAAGTTAAATAATTTTTTTACTTACTTTAACTCTATTATTAATATACCTAAATGAAAAAAAATAGAGATATTTTGTCTTTTTATAATTTTGAATATTTTAATTTATAAAAAATTTTTCTTAGTAGATAGTTTTTAGTATTTTAATTTATCATTTTACCTATTTAAGTCAAAATTATCAACAAAGATATCGCATATTTTGTCTAACTAAATTAAGGATCCATTTATAACAAAGTAAACAAACATATCATAAAAGATTGAAGAAAAATAAATTTTAAATAATTTAATGGATACATCATTACTTAACTGATAAAACATTTAAAAAATAATTTATAAAATTAAAGACAAAAAATTATTTAAATAGTATAAAGGCAAAAAATTATTCAAAATACAAAGTTTTAAAACTAAAATGATGGGCAATTTAACTATTTCTTTTCCAAAACCTTTCTTACCGTAAATTAATTTATAAATTTACAAATTAAAATTTTAATGTTTTAATCACTTGCGTTATTTTTCTTATACCATAATGCATACTGTAAATAAAAGGACAAAAGGTACAGTGAGTTGTGAGCACTGACTCCCACATGCACTTCCTCTGGCTCTGAGTAAATGAAACTGTGCGTTTTGAGGGGAGAGATAGAAAGAGGAGAGGAGGAGGAGCATTCTTTTTGCCTTTGTAGGTACTGTTTGTGTCTGGTAAAATGTTAAATGCAATGCACAGTGTTAACTACCAGATAAGTCTCTGTCTTTCTCCACTCCTTTTTTTTAAAGGGGTTTTTTGGGTCTCGGGATTTGGGGTATTTTTGCCATTTTGTCAACAAAGCTTGCACAGTCAATTTTGTTAAAGGCCAAGTGCCCAATTTCCTTGGGATACCAAGGGTGGGTTTGGTTAAATGTGGTTGTTTTTAGAAAAAGTTTTTATCAAGGAAGCTTTTAGAAAAGAATAGTATAAAAAATTTAAAAATATTATTAAAAAATTATTAAATTTTGTAATAAAATTTTATTAAATTGTTAATTTTATTGTATTTAGTAAACAATTAATATAAAAAAATTGATAGATAAATTCATTAAATATGTCTCCTATAAGAAATGTTGCAAGAAATATTTTTTTTTAAAAAAGAAAATTTTTAATTAGTGCCCTAAAAAAATATAAGTTAAAGATACATTTATTATACTTTTTACTATTAATTTACACAAAAAAATTAATTTAACTTTTATCAATTGTTTAATAAAATTATTTCACATAGCATTAGTATTGAAAATAAAATATATTTTTCGTAATTCTTTTACATAAATTAAAAGTAAAAATATGCAATAAATATATTATTAACCTGTGTTTTTAAGGTATAAATTAAAAACTTTTCAAAAAAAAATTTATAGATTAAAAATTATATTGAAAAAATTAACAATAAAAATATTATTTTTACCTTTTATTTATTACTATAATTTTGAGATTTGTGAATACTAAAATATCCTTACAAAATGTTAAAAAGAGATATTTTTGTGGAAAGTTTTAAAACACTACCTAAAAGACTTTCAATTCAAAAATAGAGAAAATGTTTTACGGTACATGTTGCATAGATGTGCAGTTTGAGTTTTGAAATTTTTAAATATTTTTATTAAATAAAATTTATAAAAGCATTTTATTATTTTTATAGTTTGGACTCAAAAAAAATTTTTTTTGTATAGTTATAATTAAAAAATAATATTCTCCAAATATACCAATTTAAATGAGATAGTCAAGTGAAAAAATTAATTGTAATTAATTATTATTACGTAAGATTATAAAACTCTATTATGAAATATAATAGTTAGGAGTATGTCAATTGGTTGGTAAGATGGAAAATCAGATTATCAGCATCTTTCACTTTCATAACTAGTAAATAATCATGTTCTTTTAAAGAATATTGATATGACAAGTCATGTAAAAATCTCTCAAGCATAATAGGTAGGACACAAGCAAAAACATATTTACATGAATACGAAATGAGATATATATATATATATATATATATATATTTTGTGAACAAGGAGAATTATAAGAGATGAAAAAAATTAATGCTTATCCTTGGATTCAACTTTTTTTTTTTTTTTTGGTAGAATCCTTGGATTCAACTTTACTAATGTCGTTCAAGCGCTTCGAGGAGAATATGGCTGGGCCACTAGAAACGGGACAAACATGAGAGATTTGAATATAAATTTTTTTAAATCTCATATTTCTTAATCATTAAACCAAGACATCATCAATCACAAAATCACTTGTTTAAATCCCTAATTGGGTATGCTTATGGTCTTTCATGCAAATTTTATGATATAAAACTCATTTTTTTTATTAAAAAAAAAAAAGTCCTGCAATACAAACTTTAGGGAGTACGGATTTGGATTGTAATTCCACTTTTCTTTTCTTCATTTTTTTTTCTTTACAAAGTTAAAAAGTGCTTTTAATGGCTCAAAATGGAAGTTAGACTGTTAGCTTTAATTACCATTAGGATTGACAAATTAAGCAAGTGGACGGTGATAAGGTCCATACCTAAATCTAGATCATTTTGCTAGAAACTTTTGAAACATCACATTTTCCTTTTAATATATTTATAGTAATCTTTTAGGGCAAAACATGTTCAATCCATACATATGATTGGTCCCTTAGGGAAACATGTATATAGTAAATTAAGTACTGTAGTATTAGTGCATGCTTTTAAGGTTTTCAACTATAGCAGATGGGAATCAGATTGTCCTTATATTTAAAGAATGTATACACAATTATCTCATCGACTTTTATATGTTGCACTTTTATATTACAAGAAATCGAGATCATGAAAATTTACTTTACATGTTTGGTTAAAGTGTTGTAGTTAGCTTTTAATAATGACATTATTAGTATCCTAAGAAATAATGTAACTTTTTTGTCTTAGCCTTTTGGGTAAGATGATCAACATATTATCCTATAATTAGCTAACTATGGGTTTTGGAATGGATTAATGCACAATGTTTTTTTTCTTTTAATGAAATTTTAAAATAGTTACATGATATCAAATCAAATGAATGCATATAAATTCATGTACATTAATGTGTGAAAAGAATTGATCACAGTTGATGTTAACTAAGATTGTAAAATTTAATTATAAGAAAATATTGTGAGTAGATCGTTTTTGCTTTTGATTGTAAATTACTTTTCTGACCACTAATTTTGTGAAGCAAATGATGATAATGTGGAGAAGCTGTTTAGCATACTATTTTTTCAAAAAGTTCAAAGTTGAGAGAAGGAGCTGTCTCTATTAATTGAGATTCGATTTTATGAAAAAATTTAAAGTTTGCTTCGCGTGAAATAAATTTAAGTTATTCTTACTACTAATTATTAGAGCTTGCTAGCCTTGAAATTAGGACAAGATTTTTGATGAAGGGGTAGGTTTACATCATGTTGAAGATGTCATTTCTACAAGAACTAATGATCCCTAACCATGTGAATGCATATTGGTAAACACATTATCCAAAACTTTTTCAATATTAGAATACTTAAAAAAGAAATTGCCAAAATAAGAAATTGATCTTGAGGCCCAGCATATGTGAGTTTTACTTGTCAATTTTCTCACCTTAATTCTACAATAAATTAATCTGTCATGAAATCTAGAAAATGGAGGTGAAAATAACACAACATAAATAAGAGTTTACTCGAGTTAATTATTAATTTTAAAATTATATTTGATATTTGTCAAAATTTAAATACCAGCATGAGAAATGAAGATGGTACATGTGAAAATCTTTCTCAATAAATGTTGTGGAACCACTTTTATATTAGTATAAATGAATTATTGACCAAAAAAAATTAAATAGATGGAGGAGGACAGGTTTTTGTGTGGATGCAAATGCAAAGTGACAAAAGGAAATGAATTGAAGGGAAGCAATTCATATTAGTAAATCCTTATTACCAAAAGGAAAAATCCTAAAAAGAGGGCAAGGAGAAGACGAGAAATAAATAATGGCCCAAAGCAGACAAGCGTGGGGTTGTCATGTCTTGTCATATCAATTTTCTTTTCCTTTTAGTGGCATCTCTCTTTTCACACATTCACTCCTGTCTTGTTCTCCTTTTCATTTTACTTCATTGTCCCCCCTATCGTTTATTGTTTAATACATGCCTGGTTAAGTCAATGACTCTTTGGTTTCAAGCATTAGGGTCATCTTTTACTGATATTTATCTAATCCTAACTATTTGAATTATTAATGTCAATCATTATAGACTATTGATTTAGATGACGATTTTTCTTTATTTAAACTGTACTAGATGTTTAGTTTATAAAACAAAAATAATTAAATAAAAAAATAACTTTTAATATAATAAAGTCTACTCTCATTCAATGAAAAATAATGTTAAATTTGATATAATTTAAATTACATAATACTTTAAACTCATTTTAAATCTTTATACTAAATAACTCCTTAACCTTTTTTGTTTAAATGTTAATTAGATAAATAAAAAAATCTTAAATTACACAACTTAAATTATTAAATAAAAAAAAAACCCTAAATTTTAAATCTGCACTGTACTCCCATTCAGTGGTTCTACTTCGCAGTCTAGAATACATAACAAGATTCTCTCTTGGGATAAAATTAAGACAAAATTCTAAACATTGCATTAGAGAGGAAAGCATTTACAAATCACGAGAAGAAAACTAAACAATGAAGACATTACACCATAGACTGAAAACCGGTGGCCAAATGTATTGTAACTGCAGGTTTGAAGAGCTGCATTTTTTTAGATCAAATTTGAAGAGCTGCATTTGTGGAATGCTGAAATAAGTCACATCTTAGAGAATTTCCCAGAACTTCTTTCTACAGATTAGTACAGTCTCGGCCTTCTTCTCCTTGTTTTCCAGAAAATGTGACTCAACATCCCAAAGGAATTTTGGAGCTAAATCTTGAATTCTTAATGTAATTGAATCCTCATCTCTAATTATAATAAATCCCTGAAAATAGAGACATGCAGACATAAATAAGAGAGATATTTATATAGGCATCTATTATCGACATTATAATTTTTAGATATGGTTAAACTAGTGTAGTTTATGGAATTACACATTCTACTTAAGATGGAGCCAAAAGGATGGAGAGAAGCTTATTACTCAATAATCATGATGACAAAAAATGATGAAAACTTCTGTTGGATGACTTGATAACATGCGAATAAAAAGTTTGTGGCTAGAAAAGTAAATTGGCAAATGACATGTCTGAGTTGATGTAAGTACTAGGTTGAACTTTTCATGAAATGCACTGACAATGCTTCACATGATTGTGATCATGCATCAACTTATAATTTTCTGGGTTTGTGTGGTTGGCCTCTCCTCCATAGCCAATTCACAGAAAGAGGGCATCATCTTTGAATTTCACGACATCTGAATTTTAGTTTCTCTACCATTAGCAAGCAAAGGGAAGAGAGGATAAACCATCAGCCATGTAGTCTGGTGGTAGAATTACCTGTGCTCTTAGTCACAGGTCCAGGGTTTAATTCCTAATCTCTATGTACCAAAGAAAAAGGAACAGAGGACATAAAACAAATTACCTGGGGTCTTATGACACGGTCCATCTCGAGCATGATATCCTCCAGTTTGCAACCTTCTCCATTGGTTTTGTAGTGGGAAAAGAGATGGTTGGCATGCAACAGATCATATGTGCGTGGATAGGTTGAAAATGGCTCACACCTAAACATGAATATTGTATTAACAATTGCAAACTAAAAAATAAAATTTACCAGAAAGCTATTGTGTCACTGGTCTGGTCTGCAGAAATTAGCATATGAAGAATGAATGGGAGAACTACAAAATTTCTTACCAATCATGAAAAGCGCCTATTAGACCTCTATCATAAATAGCAGACAAGGTATTTTGCATGCTCATAGGAACTATATTCATCACCCAAACTGGAAATTTGTTCAAAGCCACAGCAAACCCACCAACAAAAGCATTCATGTCCATCACATTCCTTACTTTGGTCTTACTAACATTCATGAGCTTCCAGTAATGGAGAACCTGATCTTGCCAAAAGTTAGCGTCTAAATCAAATCCCTCTTTACTGATACCTGAAATTAATGTAGCAAGATATTATAACATCAGACAGAATTGCAATCTCAAAAACATGATATAATCCAATAGAAAGTGCTTTAATACATCCAACTATCAATATAAGACCATTAAAGATGAATAATATAATGGCCCTCCAACCAGAAAAAGGATAACACAGAAAGGACAACAGAAACATTTCTGTATGAATGCTTTTAAAAACCATAAGTTAAGAGGACGTGCAAACATGAAAAGGTCAAAATACTTGCATATAATGTAGAGTCATGATTGAGAAGAAGGATTATATAGAAACAGAATTTAAATATTTTCACTTCAGAAAAAGAGAACAGACCAAGTCCAATGAGACTTTGTGAATAAAATGTCAGTCGTTCTTGCCTAGAAGGCAGTCTTTGAGCATCTGTTGCTGCACTTCTAAGTTGTATGCAGTTCATTAGAGGAGTCTTCCATGAAGGATTAGACTCATCTATACCATCACAAATATTAATGAGCTTCAAATCTGCATTGTGTTGAAGGCATGAAAGATTATCCTTTTTAACCCAGATTGCCGTCTGAACTTTTCGAGAAATTAGTTTCCAGCACATAGCTGTAGTCAGATTTACCAACTTATCCCAAATCATAGGATATTCTTTATCCTTCCTATATGCAGGTGGAGCTGAATAGACAAAATATCCATTAGGTCGCAGAAGGCGATTCACTTCTTTGAGTAAAATACCATCTGCAGGAAACAAGAATACAATCAAAATCAGGAAATTGCATCTAACACAAAGATGTACCAGTAATGCCTACAGACAATTTTTCAAAACCTACAAATGTCAAACAGATTGCAGAATAAGCATATTACAATGTTAATATCACTATATCAGCCATATTAATACAAAAATCAAAATAAAACCATGTCATGTTGTCATGAAAGAGAAAAGAAAAACCTAAAATTATACCATAAGTAACACCGTGTAGAAAACTGAAATCAACATATAAAATATTCAGCAAAGCAAGAAATCACGACACAGATAATCTGCTCAGAGAAAAGGTGATCACTGATATTAAAATTCCACATACAAAATGGTATGACACTAAGTAAACAGCTCAGTGGCTTATGATTAATAATCCAACTCAAAAACACCCCCCAAACAAACAAATTTTTCTAAGAACCATGAACACCTTTCACAAACTACCCATGCAACATCCCACCAGAATAAAAAAGGATGGCTGAACACAATAACCAAAAACTATGCAATTGCAATAGAGTAGCTTTAATATCACAGACAAAAAAGTCTTCAAACCAGCATAGCTGTGATCAAATCTTACACCCTATAAAGCAAAATATTTGAAAAAGATACATGAAAGTTCCCACCATGGCTCTCTGTTTGAAACCCTCATGGTCCATTCCCACCAAGAAACCATCTCATATAAAGACCATATTCTTAAGTCTTAATGGTAAAGAGCCTATCCCTGGCCCAAAAAAATAAAGGGAAAAAAAAAAAAAAAAAACTGTAAAGAGCCTATTCTACTGAAGAATGATTATTCACGATTTTATGGGAAAGCATTTTAGATGAGGTGTTATGGCTCATTCAAGTCTTTTTGATGTCCTTACAACTTTTGATTTACTAAATCTTAAAATCCATGCACTAGAAAATCAAAACACACTCAAGTTGGGTATCAATTGAGATGACTCTAATTATAGGGAACTGCAAAATTTTCTCCACATAATATAGTTAACATATAGACTTATTTATATGCACAGATTACAGATAAATTTCATTTCAGTTCTTGATTTCTTGAAGTATCTTCATAACTCCCCAACATATCCCTTAAGCTTCAAACAAAACTTATTACAAGGCAGCATAGATTATAATACATCCAATCCAGTGTTTTGAAAATATTAACATCACTAGCATTTGGAAGACATCTATGCAACAACTAGGGGGGGAACTTGTTAAAAAACATCAGTGATCAATGATGTCCACCCCCCCCGAAAAAAAAAAAAAACTGTGTCACTATGAACCCAACCAACTGGAATTGAATTGCAAAAACTAAGCCTCAAGAAGCCAATGATCTAAGCAGCCAGTGCTATCTCTCCTTTCAGTGGGAATAAGAGGTCGTGGGTTTGAATCATATGGCATGTGGGTGGGGTGAATAAAAGGATGGGAGAGGGTTGCCTCCCATTGTGCAACCCAAATAATAATAATAACTTAGAACCACATGGAAATAACAATTAGTTTAGATAATAAAAATTCATTAGCAGCTTAGACAGCAACATCTTTAATTTATTACCAGTGTCATGCAAATGTATTACAGTTCTCTATAAATACCTATACAGTCAGGTACCAGTCATTACTATTTCTAACATCATTATAATTATTTCAAATAGATTCTGTTAGATTATTAAGGAAGTCTAGAATCCAACAGTTTTTAGAATATTTCTAAGAAACAGCCACCCAAATCCCAAAGATAAAGATAATTTACAATAGAAAGTACCATTCTCGTGCCAATCAATGCGACATCTTGAACAGTGAACCATCTCAAAAGAACTACTGGGATATGGCAACTGTTTTGTGGCCAAGGCAGAGATCATCGCACCGATTCCACGCTCTAAAGCAAACTGAATCTGATTCTCATGACCATCTTTGGGAGCAAAAGACATTGTTTGTATATCTAATGGGAGAAGATAAGCTGAGAAGCTGGCAACCCCACAACCGACATCCAGAACTTGAACAACTCCTGCTGAACGCAGGTCACCTGTTTCATCAGTTATCATATTGCCCAACCTGAATGCAAAAAAGAATAAAAGAATAAGAAAATAAGTTGATAACTCAACAAGAAAAAGGATCCTAAGAACAGTCCGAGCGGATGTATGAACAATTTTAAAAAGATCATAGTATTTAAGCTTCAGTTAGATTCCCAAAGCAAGGACATTGGCCATGACAAACTTTGAAAAGCAAGTAATTTGCCCCACACAAAATCCATTCACAATTTCTACAGCCTCAGGATAATATCATGACAAAAGTTATCTGTTTAGGATGAATCCATTTTAGTGCTAGGGTTATAGAATATCTTTTTCATATTAGTTTAAAATCAATGACTGTGACTGCAAACGTAGAGCATTTGAGATATCATGTCAGCCAGACATACCTTTCAATGTATTCAACTGCTCCATGCTTGAAATGAGTACCGCCACCTGGAAACCACCAAAGGTCATTTTTCTCATGCACCCAATTTTGTCCTCCTTTAACTTCAGCAAGATGTGTATGATTAACATTGCTCCGCCAAACATAATCCCTGCTTGTTGGCCATCTTATAGGAATTTTATAGTCTTTTGGGGGTGGCACCAAACAAAACAAACGCCTTTCAAGTGGAGGGCAATGTCTCTCAAGTTCTTCTCTTCTTGAAAGATCCAAGCTTGGACGCAATTCATTTACATAAGAGATGTCATGACAGGGTATATACTCATTGAACTGCAAAGGACACACATTAATCCCACTTTGTGGGATTAGAAGAGGAATTCTGCGGTATCTAAGGGCAACTTTGTTTGTAAATGTAGATAAGCCTGCAAGTGCAGAACGATAAATCCATATCATTCAGAAAGATTCAAAATTTACAAATAGTAGTAATGTACCAAAACGGCAAAACTTTGCAAGCTTGACAACAATTACATACTTACATTCCCATGGCAAGGCTATCCTAAAAGGTAAAAGAGTTAACCACACATTTCAGAGATTTCCTAAAATATTATTTTCATAGTTTACAGCCTACAATTGCACTTCCATGGACTGCTTTAATGATCTTCAAGGTTAAAAGAGTTAAAACCAAATCAAAAAACAATCCAATTTAGAGTTTTAATATAGGGTAAACAAAATATCCCTTCAGATACGTTTTAGAAAGCAGAAGACAGAATGCCTTTAAAAAAGAGGTCAATCCCACAAATTAAAATTCCTCAAAACCCATGATGAACCTAGAATCGATTTTTTTATTTTTATTTTTATTTTTTATTTTTTTTATAAAAGGCTAAAACCGATTTAATAGTGCAGATACTTGTTTTCTTCCAGGACCAACCAAGTTCTCGACTTTCAAAGACCCAAATAATCAAACCATGCAACAAGCAGGCTTTCCATTGCTCCCACCATTACAATATCTGCACCCAGAAACATACCAGTGGATGACGATGAAGTGAAATTGGAGGCGGAGGAGGAGGAGGAGGATCCTTGAGAGACGTAAATGGGAGCATTGTTCCCAAACAGAGTGCCCAAGTAGAAAGAACCCACCATCAACAGTAGTGCCGCCATTATCATCTGCCCCGATTTCGAGTCGAACGCCGAACCCAGCGCATATCCTCCCATCTTCTTCTCGAGTTGCCCTTCTGCTCTCCTTTTAACGGTGATTTACGAAATGGGTATTACGTAAACTTCAGAAACCAGGAGGAACTCAAAAGGGCATTGTAGTTTTGAGATCCCAAGTCCCTTAACAGAAATCTATGAGGAGGAAAAAGATGAGTGCTGCCTGTTATATGGACTGTAGCACAGCTGAGATCTTTTTCCGTTTATTATCCACAATCCCCTTTTCTTTTGTTTTTATCTTCATTTTTGCTTGCTGTTTGCCCCCTCATTCTTTTACCTCATTACACTTTGCCCCTTTTGTTACTTTTTGTTTTCTGATATATGCCCTTGTACTTCAATTAGAACAGTATATGCCTCCTTGAGGATTTAAATCAGTCAAAATGGTAAACATTCAGGTTCTTGTACTTTTCTACGCAAACATCTCAATACATCATAAATCACCTCCACCTGATTGTGTGATCTATCTCCAGAAACAAAACAATGTATGTTCCCCTTTTCCTCAATGAAACTCCACCCTGGTTTCTTCTTCAAATCCTTCTCGAACATAGCTTTCCGAACTTCTTCCACCTCATTCCACTTTCCAGTGCAAGCCTGAACATTGCTAAGCAGTGTATAGTATCCAACATTATCAGGTTCTAGTTCCAAAATCCTTTGTGCAGCGTATTCCCCTAATTCTCTGTCACCATGAATAACAGAGGCTGAAAGAAGGGCTCCCCAAATCCGACCGTCTGGAAAAGCAGTCATTTTCATGATTATAGTTAAGGCCTCTTTGAGCATTCCAGATCGACCCAGAAGATCAACGATGCAAGTGTAATGGTCCAGATTGGGTTCAATACCAAATCTCCATTTCATGGAGTGAAAAGCTTTGCAGCCTTCACCTACAAGGCCAGAGTGGCTAAAAGCAGATAATAAACTCAAAAAAGTGACACTGTTTGGAGTTACTCCTTCCTCTATCATTTGACAAAAAAGTTCTAGAGCATCAAGGCCAAATCCATGGGTTGCGTAGCCCTCAATCATTGATGTCCATGCCACTACATCTTTGACAAGCATTCTATCAAAACACAATCTAGCAGAAGAAATGCTCCCGCATCTGATGTACATGTTTAATATTGAAGTTTCTAAGCATGCATTATCTTCCTCGTGACTGTAAAATGAGTTCCGTAAGGAATAGCCATGGATTTCTCTTCCAAACTGTAGGATGCCAAGATGAGTACATGCATTCAAGACATTGCTCAAAATCTCAGGCCTTGGTTTATGACCTGCAGGTTGCATTTTCTGGAAAAATTCAATTGCCTCCTTGAAGTAACCATTCTGAATATAGCTTGACATCATTGCACACTGGGCTATGGTATTTCCCCCAGTTATTTCTCTTAAAAGAAGAGTTGAATTTCCCAACTTTCCACACTTGCCATAAAAGTCCAACAAAGAGGTCTGCAAGGCATCATCCTGTAGCCCCAATTTTATAGCACAACAATGTAATTGTTCACCTTGTGATAGATTCCCAGATTTTGCTAAAGCTGATATTGCCAAGGTTAATGTCTCCATGCTGACCTCTACCTCACCCCGCATTTTACAGAATATTTTTGCAACCTGCTCAATATCTCCCGTCAGTGAGTAAAAGGAAATCAAAGTATTCCATGAAACTACATCCCTCTGATGAATCTCACCAAAAAAATTTTCAACTTCTTCATCAGTGCCCATTCTTTTGTACAGTCTCAAAACAGAATTTTGCACAAAACCATCAATCAGAGCTCCACTCTTGATCACATAACCATGCATTTGCCTCCCTTCTATTAAACTTCCAGAGTCACAGCAGCCTCGAAACAATACAATCAAAGTAACGGAATTGGGTTCCATGCTCGCCCTCATCTTCTCAAACAATGTAAAACTACCACCCACATTTCCCTCAGAAACAAGCACAGATATCATAGATGTCCAAGTTACCAAATCTCTTTCCAGCATTTCATCAAACACTTTATAAGCATGCCCAATACACCCAAATTTCCCATAAACCTCAATCAGTGTATTGCCAAAATACAAATCCAATCCAAAACCTATTTTCATTGCAAGACAATGAACGATTTCCCCAAAACACAAACCCCCATTTGCCCCCAAAACCGCTCTGTTTATCACAGGAAACGTAAAAGAATCATGCCTAACACCCACTTCTCTCATTTTCCCATACAGCAACAAAGCCTCATCGCAGTAACCAAAATCAACATGGTATTTTATAATCAAATTCCACATCATAGTCCCGGGTTCTTTCAAGGACTTGAAAACCATCATGGCAATTTGAAGATCATCGAAATAGGCATAGAGGGATATGAGCTTGGAGGCAAAGGAACTGGGTTCAAACCCAGATAAGAGAAGAGAAGCATGGATTTGTTTCAGAGATCTGATGTTCTGACATGATGATAGAAGTGAAGGAAAAGGCGAAGAGGGGTACTTGAGGTTCTGATACTGTGACTTCAGGTGATGGGGGCGAAGAAGAAGAGGTGATTCAGAGGCGATAGAAGAAAGAAAACGTCTGACGACATGAAAATTGGCGGAAATAATGTCGACTAGAAGAGAAAGACGCGGTCTTGGGGAGTTTCCGATGCAGAAGAGATCGAAGATTGCTGCTGAGTTCAGGTCGTTGGGTCGTTCCTAATATAATAAAGGTCCAACGGTCTTACAGGCCCACTTTACTAAAAAATCGCACGACGGTAAAACGACATACTGAGCAGAGTTCGCACGCTACAAATATTTTTTGAAAGAGGTGTTATATAAAAATAATTTTTTAATATTATTTTTATATATTATTAGATAAATAAATATATTTAATATTATTAATTTTATATAAATTAAAAAAATTAATTATTTAAATAATATATCAAATTATATAAACAACAATAAAAAAAATTATCTCCAAATCATTACCTTTCCCTTAAAGGTTTGTTATGACTATCTGAAATCACCGCGTTGATCGGTCACCTCTTTGATTAATATAATTCATTGACTTCATCTCGTTAATTCTGATCACTCTCTCTTCGAATTAAGGTTTCTTGTCATCTCCTCGATCTTTCCCACTCTCTTTCGATGATCTTTCCGGTCTTCTGATCGAGTCAATGGTCTTCGTCATTTTATGACCCATGATCAGGTTATAAATAAGGACCCCTTGGACCAGAATTGAAGCACTTCATCAACAAGGATAAGAGCAGTTCTTGCATACTTTTATCTGCTTGTTCTTGCTAAATTGTGAATTCTGCATATATCTGCTTAATTCAACTAAGCATAGATGGCTCCAGTTGCAGCTGCGAGTGGAAGACCTTGTAAGCAGAAGGTATCATCCTAATCCATTTATATTGATCTATGCTTTATGCTTCTGCTGCATTTCTGTTTTTGTGGATTACTATGTCTGAGTTGAATACTTGAATTCATGACATTTAGTCTTTTACATTCTAAATGTCTGGGATTTATTACTTGAATACTTCTTACCGTATATATGAAGGTAATGGCGTTTGTATGGAAGTAAGGTGTACTCAAATGTGTATTGACTTGAGTAGCTACATTTTGTAGTTGTCTTTATCTTTCAAATTCCCTAAAAAAATTATTGTATAATTCAAACGGTACAATTTAAGCTACTAAATATAAAGTAGGTCTCGTAAATATGAGAACTATTCTTTATCCATGGTTTTTATTTTGTAGTTTATAATATAAAATAGTAAACTCATTAATTACCAATTTTTTTAAAAAAATAACATTTTTAAAAAAATAACATTTTTATCTCTGTAAATTTTGTTGTAAACGTTGGTGATACTGATTAATTACTTATTTGTTTGTCACTGTGCCTAGAAAATGATGAAGATGGGCATCCGCAAGATCAATGTGACCATGAAAAAGTTAAGAGGGGAAATGGAAAAGATAGGCAAGGAGCAAAGCAGTATAAGGGAGCAGCAAAGGAAAATAAGAGAAAAGTTGGAAAAAATTGGGACTGAATGTGCACAACTTCGAGAGGAAACTGACTTGATTATCAAGCAGAAGAAGTGGAATCAAATTCTCCTCAATCTTATGTGCAAAATCATCAAGGCAAGGCAAGACAGAGACTTTGACAAAGCAGCCTCCCTCGCCAGCATCCTTCGGTTCGTATACTCAAATAGTTGTTTTTTTAGTATATCTCATGATGAATTTACAATAAAAATAGTCCTTTTCACTTGTCTCAACGTAATACATATAGGTTTGAACAGTGATTTGATATATATTTTTTCCTTGATTTTTTTTTTTTGCAGGGACTTAATAGCGAAGCAAAAGGGAAAAGGCATGCTTATGGCTGGCTCTGAATGCAAGCAAGATGGGAGTTGCAAAAATGGCAAACAGGAAGCATGTTACAACAAATAAAAAAGCATTCCCACTCCCAAGTTACATGTGCTTGTTTTTTGCCATCGTCTCACTGCAACCAAAAGGAAAGGGGAAAAAAAAGTATAGTCTAAATTTCTTACTTCTCTTGTAAGTTTCATCTTGATAAAGATCAGTTTTTGCAGATTGATAAATAAATGTAATACAAAAATACTGTGTTTGAATAAATATTTTTATCATGTTAGTCTAAAACAATATACATTTTACTAGTCAAGTTATAAAAGTACATATATATATATATATATACATACACTAAGGGTATTTGGTTCGTAAATTAAATTGGATTTTCACATTTTTAAAACTAAATTAATTTAATTGGTTAATAAAATTTTTTAAATTAATTCAATCTATTATTATATTATAATTAAACCAATTTAGCTTAAATCAAATCCGTATAATTCAATTGGATTGATCAATTTCTAATACTATTTTAATTATATTTGATTAGATAAAAATCAAAGTATCAAATGATAGAAAACATGATAATAAAGCACAATAACATTGTAAATAACAAAATAATATTACTAAATACTAAATTGAAGTAAGAATTAAGAAGATGAAAAAAAATAAATTATAAGAACTAATAGGACAATTAAGACATGCAAACTCATGCTGTTACCGCTTAATAAAATAGAAATTTTTGATAATAGAGCTTTTGTTTGTGTAAGAGATGATTTATAGCTGCACTAGTTTTTAATTAAGTTATTTAAGTTATGTTGTATAACATGGTACCAAAATAAAATAAAATAAAATAAATGATAATCAATACTATTAATATTATATTACAACCATAAAAATATTATACTAAATAAATAAGAAAAATAAAACAAGAAAGGAAAATTTAAAATGCAATTTTTTGTACAAAAATAAAAATTCTAAAAATATATTAAATTTTTATTTTACTAAAAAGTTTTGAAAATATATCAATTGAAAATATAAATATTGTAATACTCAATCGATTTAAAGGTAAAATCATAAATTAAACTATACATATTAATTTCAAAAGTTTATAATCTAAACTAACTTAAATTTATATCCGCTTGAATTAGATTTTAATTACATTAGATTAAATCAATTTCATTAAGATTAATTAGTTTGAATTAAATATAAACAGTCTTACCTTGTGTTTCCTCAAAAATCCTCAACCGGCCTTTACCACGTGAGTTTGAATGTTAGGCGTGTCACTTGTTTTGTCTAAAAATAAGAAAACAAGATTTTCCAGACAACCCTTTCTTTTTGCCAACAGTCAACCTCCAATGGGATGGCTAGAACGTACGATTGTGAAATAAATTGTGCCCCAAACGATGTTGCAAAACAGAGAGTGGAGTTCTGCAAAAATGGGTTACTAATTGCTTTGGAAACCTCCAAAGACTTTACAACCATAAAAGTGTAATAAAAGTTACAAATCCTAAAATTAACACAAAATCCTAAGGCAATTAATCTAACTTAAGATCAATAAAAGAAAACAACATGCCATAAAAATGAAATTCGCAGACAACAAAAAATGTAAAATCACAGACAACGACTTCTACTACGCAATCCATAACAATTAAATTTAATAACTTGCAAATTTAAAATAAAAGTAGTAAAACTACTTGATAACTAAAACTGAAGGAAAATCTACGAAATAATTAAAGTCTGAAAACTTATGAAATTAAATCTAGAAATTTAAATTAAGTAAACTGCATGTCTGGCTGTTGTGTAAAAACAAAAGAACAAAGGCAAAAAGCATTCAACCTAATTACATGAACAAATGACATAGCTGAATTCATAAAAAAAAAAAAGGAACTAACCAAGTCAAAAGGGCAGACTCGTTTTGAAGGCTGAATTGCTTCCAAATGTTTAAAAACTAACCTAAATGAAATCTTTGAAAGGAAATATGAACAAGGATGGAAAAAGCTAACCTAAGGCTATGAACAAGAGCAGATCTTGCAAACTAATCTAGAAACTATTGCTAAAATCTAAAAAAAGTAGTTTGAAAGTTGAAAAACATGCACTTGGTAGTGTGTGTGTGTGTGTGTGTGTAGGGCAGGCCGTTTGGAATTGATCTCTTCCTCTTGTTTTTCTTTTCTTCGGTGCTGGAAAACCTCCTCCATGTTTCTCGACCCTCCTCCATGTTTCTCGACCCTCTTCCACCATGATCGAGTAGTGGGGGTTCCATGTCTAGCAGTTGTCTAGCAATTGACAATTTTTACTCAATCTTATCTCTAATAAAACCCTAGAGATAACCTCCTCCTAAAAACTCTTAATTTCCTAACTTAAATCAAACTCAAATACTAGAAGTTATTTTATCTTCTACCACTTGAAAGCCAGCTTCTTTAAAATTTCGTCTGGGCCTTTAAATTATAATCTAGCCCAACCCAAATCCAACCTGCTAACTTTTCTCGATAATTGGGCTTCATCTTGACACGTGGCCTTCTCTGATTGGTTTATTTTAGGTGTAAACAATGCCCCCCAACACTTGGTTTTATGGGAATAAATCCAAGTGTTTAAATTTTAAATTACCTTTCAAACTCCAAACTCCAAAGGCCACATGCAGAATCTGCTAAACCCTAAGATGATTGCAGCAAATATTCCCAACTTTTTCACAGCTAACTCTGTCTGAGCGCATCCAGCCATCCACAGCCAATCACGGCCGCTTGATCAAACTTGCTCTCATTCAAAATGAAATAAATGAAAGAAACTCAATTTAATTATGCACAAAAAGAAGTGTGAACCTGGCTCAGACAGCTTCTTGGAACTCTATTCCTCTTGCTTCCCAAACTGTGGGGTAATAAGGCTTGAGATAAATTCCATTGATTTTTTTGGGATAAAGCTCTCCATCAAGTGACTCTAACCAATAAGCACCCCCTCTCAACACCTCATGAATTCGAAATGGTCTTTCCCAATTTGGGGACCACTTCCCAAATCTAGGATCTTTCTTGCCAAGAGGTAAAATTGCTTTCCAAACCAAGTCACCAACTGCCAAATTTTTACCTTTCACTCTCTTGTTGTAAGACTTTGCAATTTTGAACTTTTGAACTTGCAATCTATCCAAAGCTGTTAAACGTGTGTCTTCAAGGTCCTCAAGCTCAAGCATCATGGCCTCATCGTATTCCCTAGACTGGAGAATATGCTGAATTGCTATTCTTAAAGACCTAGCTATTAACTCCATTGGCAAGACTACATCGTGACTGCATCATGGCCATATGTCAAAGCAAAATGTGTCATTTTGGTTGACCTCCTTTGTGAAGTTCTATAAGCCCACAGTGTTTCAGACAACAGTTCATGCCAGCGTCTGGAGTTGTCATCCACCATGTTTTCAAGCAAATTAATCACCATCTTGTTAGAAGCCTCAGCTTTCCCATTAGCTTGTGCATAATGTGGAGTAGAATTTAGCAGATAGAAACCCATTTCCTTTGCAAATGTCTCCACTTGATGGCTGACAAAAACTGTGCCTTGGTCTATTGTTATTGTTTATGGCAGACCAAACCTGTGAATAATGTCCTCTTTGATGAACTTGATTACATCAGATTGATCTACCTTCTTCATTGGTTTAGCCTCCACCCATTTGGTAAAATAATCCATTGCCACTATAATAAATGAATGACCTTTTGATGAAGGAGGGTACACTTTACCAATCAAATCAATAGCCTAGCCTCAAAATGGCCACGGTTTCACAATATGATTGAGTTCAGAGGCTGGAACTCTTTGAAGTGGCCCATGGATCTGACAAGATTTGCAGCCATTAGCATAAGCAATATAATCTTTCAAGACAAACGACCTGAAGAAACCATGTATGCGAATCAGCCAGTGCATCTTGATCCTAGCCTGGTGTGCACCACAAATCCCATCATGAACATCAGACAAAATCTGGAAACTTTCATCCGAACCCAGATAATGTAGCAGTAGTTCATCATGGCCTCTCCTATAAAGCACACCCTTAATCAAGACATAATTGAGAGCTTGCATTTTAATTTTCCTAGATACCTTAGTACTCTGATCCTTAAGGTACTGAATAATTGGAAAGCGCCAATCTGTCTGGGTGATATCAATACTACAAGTAGAAACTGTCATGCCACGTTGACAAATTGATGGTAGACTACGCTTTTCAACTATTACAACTTTCTACATTACACCTTAGGAATTCGTAGACCTGAAGCAATTTGGGCCATTTCATTAGCTTCATAATTCTAGTCTCTAGGCACGTTTCTAATAGACACATCATTAAATTCTTCTAATAATTGCACAGCCAAGGCAAACTAAGGGGCTAAAGCCAGGCTAGTACATTTGTACTCACTAGACAATTGCTTCAAGACTAGTTGTGAGTCCCCTATAACCTCAACCATGGATACTTTAAGCTCCACCAACATCTCAAGACCAATAATCAAAGCTTTATATTCTGCTTGATTATTTATGCAATTGAAATCCAGTTGGAAAGACATCTATATTTTTAGCCCAGACGGAGAGATTATCACGACCCCAACTCTAGACATGGTTTCTGTACTAGATCTATCAAAAATAAGTTTCCAAGGAACTAAACTTATTGAAAATAAGTTAATCCCCTTCTCTTCATTTGCTTCCACTTCCAGACATGGATGATCTGTAAGAAAGTCTGTTGGTGCCTGCCCTTTGACAACCTTCTGTGGTATATATTTTAGATTAAGTTCAAATAAGGCCAGAATCCATTTACCTATTCGGCCTCTTAACAATGGGCGAGACAACATATATTTGACAATATTAGTCTTAGCAACCACATAAACCTCGGAATAAATTAAATAATGTCTTAATTTTATTACAGCAAAAAAGAGAGCAAGATACAACTTTTCGACCGAAGAATATTTCACTTCGGTCTGGGTCAAACATTGACTCAAGTAATACACAGCCTGCTCTTGTTTTTTATCATTTTCTTGCGCCAGCAAACATCCTATGGACTTGTCTGCGGTGGATATATACAAAATTAAAGGTTTGTTTTTCACAGGCAGTACAAGTATTGGTGGTTTGGATAAGTACCACTTTATTGTATCAAAGGCAGACTGGTGTTGTTCTTCCCACTTAAAATCTGCCTCAGACTTGAGTTTCAACAAAGGAGAGAAAATTCCAGTTTTCCCAACCAAGTTAGAAATGAAACGTCTTAAGAAATTAACTTAGCCAGGAAATCTCTGCAATTCCTTCTTGTTCTATGGTGGTTTTGCTTCAATCACAGCCCTAGCTTTGTTCTTATCAACCTCCAGACCACGGTCATGTACCAAGTATCCAAGAAAATTACTTGCAAACACTCCAAAGGCACACTTTAATGGGTTCATTTTCAAGCCATGTTGCCTCATCCGCTCAAAAGCCTTCCTCAAATGGACCAGATGGTCTTCTTCCCCATGTGACTTCACCACAACATCATCAATGTAGATTTCCATGAATTTACCAATCATATCATGAAAAATTACATTCAAGGCTCTTTGGTAGGTGGCTCCACCATTCTTCAGACCAAATAGCATCACAACCCACTCAAAAGTTCCAACAGCACTTGGGCATCAAAAGGTTGTCTTTGGAACATATACATCTGCAATGAAAATTTGGTAATACCCATTATGGCCATCCATGAAAGATAAAATTTTATGACGAGCTACTCCATCAACCAACAAGTCTGCATGTCTGAATGAATTCAGTTTTTACCAGCCGCTCAATTTCTTCTTTCACCCTCAAGGTGACCTCTGCAAACATGCATTTGGGTGGCTGTTTATACGGTCTGAATCCTTCTACAATTGGCAGTTTATGTTCCACCAATTTTCAATTTAGACTTGGCATTTCTGAGCATCCCAAGCAAAACAGTCTTTAAATTCATGCAAAGTTTGACAATTTGTTCTGGTGTTTGCAGCTCAAGAAAGCCACTAATAAATGTTACCTTTGGCTCAAGAAAGCCACTCAAGATTGATCTCCTCCAGTAGGTCTTGAACTATAGCTTTTAAATCATTCAACTTGGCTAGGGCAAGATCCAGTTCATCCAAAATTATTTCATCATCCTAGTCTGCCTTTTCTCTTTCATGAACAATCTCAGACCTGTCAACTTGCATTGCTTTTTCAGCAAAATAGGTCGTTAATTTCTTTGTTATCTCCAACACAGCCTTTTCTCTTTCTTTTCTCAAATGAGCTTGCTTCATTAAATTTCTTCAATTTTTAGTTTCCCCTTCGGCCTATAAGGAATTATTATTGTTGGTCGAACAAGTTCATCATAGACTCCCACTAGAACATGCTTAAACAATGACGGTTTGCTGCATGCTGTTATCCCAATAGGCTTCCCATGTCTATCCATCCCAAAAAATCAAATGGTACCAATGTCTTCTTCATAATATCTAGCCTCCACCAAGTGGGTATTGGCTGAAAAAGGCTTATCATCTGCAGACACCACCTCAGCCTTGCCACCATTCTAGAAAATAAGCTTCTGGTGAAGTGTAGAAGCGACACACCAACTTGAATGAATCCAGTCACACCCCAAAAGTGCATTGTAAGTAGCAACAATGTCCACCACAAAAAACACAAACATCAGTGTCCTATTTCCCACTGTTAATTCAACAGGTAGCACACCCCTTGAACGATTGACCCCTCCTGTGAAATCACTAATTGTAACCTCAATATGCACTAAATCATCAAGAGACTTGCATATTTTGTAAAGCATGCAAGTTGGAAGGACATTGACTGCAGCTCCGTTATCCACCAAGACACGGTTGATTGGAGTCCCATCCATGTGAGCATTGATCTAAAGTGGCCTAATGTGTCTAGCCATCTTTTCTTCTGGTTTTTCAAACACTATTTTGTCAACCATGTCCTCCTCTTCATCATCTTGGGCTGGAACAATGATTGCCTCTTCTTCTATCTATTATAGTAACTCATAAACGATTGGTTCCTCCTCCTTCTTAGCTTGGAAAACTAAGGGTAATGTCAGCACCAAACGTGACCAATTCACTAAGAATTCCCCAAAATGAATAGTGCCATCTTCTTTTGATTCACCTCCAAGATTTCTAGGCTGTTCTTGTGCTTCAAAAGTTGCTTTCAAAATTTCATCTGGACTCACAATGACAGACGCCACCTTTGGAGAAGCTGGAGATTGGTCATCCTTCTCTAGTAAAGGCAGGGTTACAGTCTCCTTTTTCTTTTTTCTCACCCACACCATGTTCCTTTCGGTAGGTTGGTGTGGTCTGCGAGATGAACTTCCCTCAGCCTCCACCTACTTTTGTTGCCTTTTCTGCTCTTCAGCCCTTTTGCGATATAGTCTATGCCTCAAGATTCTAGGATTCTGGGATTTTGGGTTGGAAACTTTGGATGACTAACTTTCTCTCATCATCTAGAAGGCGACCTAAGTGGTGATTTAACCATTCTTAGAGATCTAGTACCAGCTGAGTGATGTCTGTCACATTCTGGGCTAAAGTTCCTGGTCATAATAATCCTTCCTTGCCCCTCAAGCCTCTGCCGGTCTAATCTAACGCTCCTGCTATGTTTGGATCTTTGCGCCTCAATAACCCACCTCAAGTCTTCAGCAGCAAGATTTCTTTGAGCATAAGGCAGACTACGATTTCTAGCAACATTCCTCAAGTTTGCAACATTCACACCAACAGACATAGTTGGAAAAGGATCTGCATCTACTTCCATGGTTTCCTTCACTTAGTCTGGAAACTTCAGGATGCCCTTATTAATTTTTTCCAATGACCTCAAGGCTGGTCCATAGGTCTCTTGTACCAGATCTATTAACTGATCTCTATTGAATAGTTGAACTGGTTGATTTTGCAAACCACGCTGTACCGGTTAGGCTGATGGACCTTGTGACTGGAAAAAATCCCTTGGATGGGGTTGATGATAAGGACCCACATTTCCCTTCCTAGTTGGCGGAATATACCTATGCTGAGGTTGATGGCGATGGTCTGCAACAAGAGTAGCAACCTCCATTAGTTCGTGTTGTCTTTGCCTTTCACTAATGAAGAAATTCTGCTGTTGAATGTTAGGATGAGGCCGATTCCCTTGCCCCCCGAGCACTTGGATTAGGGCTTCCTAAATCTGTCTGGGCATTTCAATGGCTGGAGGAAGGACCTTAGGTCTAGGCAGTTGCACTTGCTCAACTACTTGTTCTGAAACAACCTGCAGTGTTATGCGACTCTCCTCTCTAGTTTCACGTATCACCCTAGTGCCTTCTTTTCAAAAATCCATCTCTATTCAACCATACATTGTCTCATCGCCTCATAATGTTGTCTAGAGGATTCTGCTTGTCTCTCAACAATTTTCTAAATATCTTGGGCCCGCTTTCTGCACAATATCTCAAAGCGTTCAGTCAAGTCTCTAATCACATTACATGACTTCGCCAATTCATCTTTCCAGTCTGCATCCTTTTCCTTGAAAATTGGATTGCCATAAGATTGCTCCATGAAGGGTGACAAGAGGGGAGGAACAACTGGATCATTCTCACCCTCTGAGTAGACTGGACTATTATTTGCATGTTCAGCCTGGGCTGGCTGAACCTCTTTATCTTTGCTCTTTCTCGGTGGCATGGCTCCAGACGCCTCTAGATGTATAAACAGAGGATATGTGAACTTTAACTGATACACCCTGTTGGTAGTCCCACTGGGCTTGCCAACAAAGGATTGTTTCCCCAAAAATCCTTAGTCGGCCTTTACCACGTGAGTTTGGATGTTAGGCATGTCACTTGCTTTGTTTGAAAACAAGAAAACAAGATTTTCTAAACGACCCTTCTCCTTTCTAGTGGTCGACCTCAAATGGGATGGCTAGAAAGAACGTCTGTGAAATAAATTGCACCCCAAATGATGTTGCAAAACAAAGGGTGGAGTTATGCAAAATGGGTTACTAATTGCCTTAGAAACCTATAAGGACTTTACAACCACCAAAGTGTAATAAAAGTTACAAATCCTAAAATTAACACAAAATCCTAAGGTAACTAATCTAACATAAGATCAATAAAAGAAAATAACATGCCATAAAAATGAAATTCGTAGACAACAGAAAATGTAAAATCACAGACAACGACTTCTACTACACAATCCATAACAATTAAACTTAATTACTTGCAGATTTAAAATAAAAATGTAAAACTACTTGATAACTAAAACTGAAGGAAAATCTACGAAATAATTAAAGTCTGAAAACTTATGAAATTAAATCTGGAAATTTAAATTAAGTAAACTGCATGTCTAGCTGTTGTGTAGAAATAAAAAGAACAAAAGCAAAAAGCAATCAACCTAATTACATGAACAAATGATATAGCTAAATCCATAAAAGAAAGAGGAACTAACCAAATCAAAAGGGCAAACTCGTTTTTAAGGCTAAATTGCTTCCAAATGCTTAAAAACTAACCTAAATAAAATCTAAAGGAAATATGAACAAGGATGGAAAAAGCTATCCTAAGGCTATGAAAAAGAACAGATCTTGCAAACTAATTTGGAAACTATTGCTAAAATCTAGAAAAAGTAGCCTGAAAGTTGAAAAACATGCTCTAGGCAGTGTGTGTGTAGGGCAGGCTGTCTGGAATTCATCTCTTCCTCCTGTTTTTCTTTTCTTCGGTGCTGGGAAACCTCCTCCATGTGTCTCGGCCCTCTCCCACCATGATTGAGTAGTGGGGGTTTCATGTTTGGCAGCTGTCTGGTAGCTGACTGTTTTTACTCAATCTTATCTTTAATAAAACCCTAGAGATAACTTCCTCCTAAAAACTCTTAATTTCCTAACTTAAATCAAATTCAAATACCAGAAGTTATTTTATCTTTTGCCACCTGAAATCCAGCTTCTTTAAAATTCTATTTGGGCATTTAAATTGTAATCCAGCCTAACCCAAATCCAACCTGCTAACTTTTCTTGATAATTGGGCTTCACCTTGACACGTGGCCTTCTCTGATTGGTTTTTTTTAGGTGTAAACACCTTGTATTGTAGATTATAACTTGCTCTCAATCAAAAATACTCTACTTAGATTGTCTTTTCCAACATTGATTATGTAGTTTTCGGTTCAGATCATGAGGAGAGATGATATAACTAAATGGGCGCATGAGGTGAGGCAGCCAAAAGCAGAGATGGAAGAGATCAACAAGAGCAGGAAAGTATAAGGCAGGGCCAAAAGTAAGTGTGGGAAAATTTTGAAGCCATTGAATCTGAATGCCAACAACTTCGCAAGAATTCTGGCCTTGTGGTTCAACAAAGCGTAATCATCAAGCTTCGCCTTGCACTCATGTTTCAGATCCTCAAAGCACAACACAACAATGACCTTGCCACAACAACTCAGCTTCGCCTTGCACTTATGTTCCGATCATGACAGGGTACATTACAACAAATTAAAAAGGCACTCTCAGTCCCACTTCCACATTACGGTTGTCTATTTTTTGCCATCATCTTACTGTAATCAAAAAGGAAAGAAAGAAAAAAGTCAAAATTTCTTACTCTTCTTTTAAGTTTTTTCTTGATCAAGATTAGTCTGTGCAGATTGATGAATAAATGTAATAAGAAAACATGGTGTGTGATTTTTTTTTAACAATAATTTATACATTTTTAGATTTAACACTCTTTACAATATATTTATTAAAAAAATACTATTATTTTTAAATTTAAATTTAAGACAACAAACTTTCAATTATAGATATTAATAGTTAAACTAATAAATATTAATAACTATATTAAATTAAAATGTGTATTAATCATTTTTTTTATATACATAATGTCAATATGAAATAATATGTATTTTACTAAAGAGAGTGAATAATTATTTTTTCTTGAAAAAGAAATATAAAATATATACCGCAAAATCCTGGTAAGATGAGTTGCTGTGGCAAGGTCATTGTTGTGTCGTGCTTTG